CCAAAAACATACACTAGGGAAAAGAATCCCTATTCAATAAATGGTGCTGGGAAAACTGCATAGCCTCTTATAGAAGGCTGAAGCAGGATCTACACCTTTCACCTCTCACAAAAATCAACTCATGCTGGATAACAGACTTAAACCTAAGGTATGAAACTATTAGAATTCTAGAGGAAAATGTGGGAAACACTCTCCTAGACATTGGCCTAGGCAAAGAATTTATGAAGAAGACCCCAAAGGCAATCTCAGCAGCAACAAAAATAAATAAATGGGACCTGATCAAACTAAAAAGCTTCTGCACAGCCAAAGAAATAATCATGAATGCAAACAGACAACCTACAGAATAAGAGAATATTTTTGCATCCTACACATCTGATAAGGGGCTGATAACTAGAATCTACTTAGAACTCACGAAAATCAGCAAGAAAAAAATCAAACAACCCTATCAAAAAGTAGGCAAAGGACATGAACAGAAACTTTCCAAAAGAAGACAGAATTGTGGCTAACAAACATATGAAAAAATGTTCAACATCTCTAATCATCAGGGAAATGCAAATCAAAACCACAATGAGATATCACTTATTTCCAGTAAGAATGGCCTTTATCAAAAAGTCCCAAAACAATAGATGCTGGCGTGGATGCGGAGAGATAGGAACAATCCTACACTGCTGGTGGGACTGCAAACTAGTTCAACCTCTATGGAAAGCAATATGGAGATACCTTAAAGCAATACAAGTAGATTTGATCCAGCAATCCCATTACTGGGCATCTACCCAAAAGATCAAATGACACTCTACAAAAAAGACACCTGCACTCGAATGTTTATAGCAGCACAATTCACAATTGCAAAGCTGTGGAAACAACCCAAGTGTCCATCAATTCATGAGTGGATTAATAAAATGTGGTATATGTATACCATGGAGTACTATTCAGCTATAAGAAACAATGGTGATATAGCACATCTTGTATTTTCCTGGATAGAGCTGGAACCCATACTACTAAGTGTAGTATCCCAAGAATAGAAAAACAAGCACCACATATACTCACGAGCAAATTGGTATTAACTGATGAGCACCTAAGTGGACACATAGGAATTACATTAATTGGGTATTGGGCAGGTGGGAGGGGGGACGAAGGGGGCGGGTATATACATACATAATGAGTGAGATGTGTACTGTCGGGGGATGGTCACACTTGAAGCTCAGACTTGTGGGGGGGGGAGGGCAAGGGCATTATTTGAAACCTTAAAATTTGTACCCTCATAATATGCTGAAATAAAAAAAAAAGAAAACAGAAAAATAGAGAAAATCAATGAAACCAAAAGCTGGTTCTTTGAAAAGTTTAATCAAATGAAAAACCCTTAGCTAGAATGACCAAGAAAATAACAGAGAAGACAAAAATGACTAAAATCAAGAATTAAAGAAGAAACATCAGTACTGATCCTACAGAAGTGAAAAACAATTATGCAGGAATTTTAAGACTAACTTTAGGCCAACAAATTAGAAAATTTATTTGAATGGACGAATTCATAGAAAGCTACAAATTACCAAAGCAGACTCAAGAAAGAGAACAGCTGAATAAACCTATAACAAGGAAAAAAAAAAAAACAAGTAAAGAGGTTGAATTAGTAATCAAAAAACTACCCACAAAGAAAAACCCAGGTCCAGATGGCTTGATTGATGAATTTTATCAAACACTTAAAGAAATAATAATGCCAGTCTTACACACTTTCAGAAAATAGATGACGAGGGAATACTTTCCAATTCATTCTATGATGTCAGTATTACACTGATACCAAGGCTAAACAAAGATATCACAAGAAAACTATAGACCAATATCCTTCATGAACATAAATGCAAAAACCCTTAATAAAATATTAGGAAGCCTAATCCAGCAACATACAAAAATGATTATATACTTATAAGTGGGACTTATTCCACTAATGAAAGATTAGTGTAACATCTAAAAATCAATTAATACAATACACCATATTAATTGATTAAACTTTAAACTACATGATCACCACAGTAAATACAGAAAAAATGTTAAACAAAATACAAGACCCTTTCATAATATTAATAATAAAAAACCTCAATTAACTAGCAATAGAAGGGAATATCTTCAATCTCCCTGTGGTAGGCTGAATAATGCCCCCCTCCAAAGATGTCTACATCCTAATCCATGGAATCTGTGAAAATGGTAGGTTATGTAGGAAAAGGGAATCTGCAGATGTAGTTAAGGATTTTAAGATAGGGAGATTATCCTGGATTATGCAGTAGAGCCAATATAATCACAAGAGTCCTTATAAGAAGGAAGCATTAAGGTTAGAGATAGGAGATTTGATGACAAATGTAGAAGTTGGAGTAATGTGAAGAAGGGGCTACGAGCCAAGGAATGCAGGTAGCCTCTAGAAGCTGAACAAGGCTCACCCAGAGACTCTAGGAGGAGTGCAGCCCTGTCAACATCTTGATTTTAGGACTTCTGACCTCTAGAACTATTAGAGAAGAAATTTACATTGCTTTAAAACATGAACTTTATGGTAATTAGTTATAGCACCCATAGGAAAGTAATATACTGCCAAAGAGCATGCACAGAAAATCTAAAGCTAAGATCCTACTTAACAGTTAAAAATTGAATGCTTTCCCCTTAAGAATGGGAACAAGGCAAGTATGTTAGCTTTCATCATCTCCATTCAACACTGTACTCAAGGTTCTACACAGTACAAGGAGGCAAAAAAAAAAAAAAAAAGGCATCCAAATGGGAAAGGAAGAAGTAAAACTGTATTATTCACAGGAAACTTGTTTTTGTTTTTTGTTTTTTTTTTTTTGAGACAGAGTCTTGCTTTGTCGCCCAGGCTAGAGTGAGTGCCGTGGCGTCAGCCTAGCTCACAGCAACCTCAAATTGCTGGGCTCAAGCAATCCTCTTGCCTCAGCCTCCTGAGTGGCTGGGACTACAGGTGTGCACCACCATGCCCGGCTAATTTTTTCTATATATATTAGTTGGCCAATTAATTTCTTTCTATTTATATTAGAGACAGGGTCTTGCTCCTGCTCAGGCTGGTTTCGAACTTCTGACTTTGAGCGATCTACCTGCCTCGCCCTCCCAGAGTGCTAGGATTAGAGGTGTGAGCCACCGCGCCTGGTGAAACATGATTGTTTTTATAGAAAATTCTAAGGTATCCATAATAAAACTATTAGAACTAATAAAAGAGTTTAGTCACACGATATAAAATCAATATACAAAAATCAACTATATTCCTATCGGTTTGCATATAACAATCACAAAATAAAATATGAAAACAATTATATTTGCAAGAGCATCAAAATCAATAAAATGCTTAGAAAAAATTCAATAAAAGCAACACAGGATTAAATTTAATAAAAGAACTATAACTAAAAACTACAGAACAATGTTGAAATAAATTGTAGAAGATCTAAATAAAGGAAGAGAGATTTCATGTTCATGGATTAAAAGATTCATTATTAAGATTCAATTTTTCCCAAATGGAATTACAGATTCAACTAAATTCCAGTAGGCTTTTTTTTTTGGTAGAAAAATTGACAAGCTCCTGCTAAAATTTACATGGAATACAAAGGACCCAGAATAGAAAAACTGATTTTAAAAAAGAGAAATAAAGATGGAGGAATTACACTACCCAATTTCGAAACTTACAATTAATACAAAGGTACAATAAAGAGATTTAGAGCATAAGGATAGGCATATAGATCAATGGAACCAAGTTGAATGTCCAGAAATAAATCCTTACATTTATGGTCAATTGATTTTTCCACAAAGGTTCCAAGACAATGGGGAACATGATAACCCTTATAACACATAGTGCTTGGACAACTGGATATGCACATACAAAAATATGAACTTGCACCCTTTACCTCACACATAAAAATTAACTCAAATGCCTACTAGATCTAAATGTAAAAGCAAAGACTATAAATATTCTAGAAGAAAAAATAGGAGAATATCTTTCTGACGGTGTGATACCAAAAGCACGTCATAAAATAGTAAATTGATAAATTGAACTTCGTTAAAATTAAAAACTTTAATGCCATAAGAGACACCATTAAGAAAACAAAAAGACAAACTACAGACTAAAAGAAAACATTTGCAAATCATATACCTTATAGAAGACTTGTATTCAGAATACACAAAGAACTCTTACCACTCAATACTAAGAAAACAACCCAATTAAATAAATGGACAATAGGCTTGAACAGACATTTCACCAAGGAAGACATATAAATAGCTAATAAGTACATGAAAAGTTATTCAAGATCATTTATTATTACAGAAATTCAAATTAAAACCACAATGAGGTATCAGTACACACACTAATTATGGCTGTAATAAAAAGACAGGTAATAACAAATAAAATGGTACAACCACATTAGAAAACAGTTAGGCAGTTCATCAAATGGTTATATGTAGTATTACCACATGACCCAGAAATTCTACTCATCCAAGAGAAATGGAAACATGTCCACACAAAAACTTGAGATGTTCAAAGCAACATTATTCATAACAGCCAAAAAGTAGAAAGAACCTAAATGTCATAAAGTGGTGAAGAAATTAAAAAATGTGGTATGTCTATAAAATAGAAAACTAGCAATAAAAAGGAACAGATTGCTACAGACTTGCTACAACATGGATGAATCTCAAAAACGTTATGCTACTTGAAAGAAGCCGGATTCAAAAGACCACATATTATAAGAGTCCATTTATATGAAATAACTGGAAAAGACAAATTTATACAGGCTTGGGATATATGTGGGAATCATATAATTAAAGTAGGCACAAGGGAATTTTGCCAGGTGATGGAAATGTACTAAAATTGGATTGTGGATTCCATTGTACAATTCTAAAAACGAACTAAGAATCACTGAATTGAACACTTACAATAGGTGCATTTTATCATATGTAAATTATATATCTCAATAAAAATGTTTAAAAATAAATTATTCAGTCTCACAAAATGTGAGAAGAAATAGAAAACAGAAAATATACTGAAAGACATTAAAGAATAATTAAATTAATGGAAAGATAGCATGTTCACATTTGAAGATTTGAAGACTCACATTATAAATAGGTCAATTCACCTCAATTGATTTAAACACTAAATGGAATCTCAATCAAAATCATATAAAGGTTTGTGTACAGGTGTAATTTGAAAAACTGATTCTAAAATTTACATGGAAAGACAAAGTATTAAAAGTAGTTGAAACACTTTTGAAAAACAAGGTGGAAGAAATTATTCTGCTGTACCAGATATCAAAACATTAGAAAACTAGACTATATGATATTGATTCTAGAATACCTAAAAACACCAAAGGAACAAAAGAGAAAATCCAGAAGAGCACCAATCCATATACGAACACCTGATATATATGACAGAGGTAGCAATACAGTAACACCACAGGGACATTTTCAATATTTGGTGTTATAATAAAGGGCTATCTATATGAGGAGAAAAAGAAACTGAAACCCCTTATTTACACCATATACATAAATCAATTCCAGGTGGATTCAAGACTTAAACATGAAAGACAAAAACATAAAGCTTTTGTAATAAAGAGCAATATATTCCTGTACTCACAGTAGGGAAGGACTTATTAACCAAAGCACAAAAAGCACTAAGTATGAAGGAAAAATTAGTACATTTTATTACATAAAAAATGAATAACTTCTGTTCACCAAAAGAGGCCATAAAGGTTGTGAAATGATAAACTACAGAATAGGACAAGACATTTTCAACATATATAACCAACAAAGAACAATTATCTGCAATAATAAAAACACTTTTACAAATTTATAAGAAAATGCACCTAAAATTAGATAAGAAAATTGGAGATAGAATATTCAGAATGTATAACCCCAACAGTTTCCTGGTTCCCTCCTCCCTGTAGGAAGGTATAACAGTAATCACTGAGATCTGCTATACCTTTTGGCTTTTGGGTTGAGCTATTATTTGATACATACCTTAAGTGACCTCTGAACCAAGACTACATCTGGGCAAAGATACAACAGATGGAAAGACATCCGGCAGTCAATAGATATTTTCACATTTACTAAATGGGCAAAATATTTGAATAGCCATTTCACAAAGGAGGCTGTCCAAATGGTCAATAAATGTGTAGATGTGTGAGAAGGTACCCAACATCATTAGTTATCAAGAAAATGAAATTAAAACCACAACAAAACAAACAAGTTTGGACTACTGAAAAAATATCCATCCACATCCTAAAAGAAAGACAGACACACACACACATGCACGTGTACACACACACACACATGAAGGCAGGAGAACTGAAGGCAGGGGAATTGTTCTAAAGCAAACTAAATGCAATGCGTGCTCCCTGATTGTATCTTGGATTTAAAACGGAGAAATCTGATCTTTCTTTCATTGTCGATAGCATACATGTAAACATGATGAACGTTCCTAAAACCTGCCAGAGTTTCTGTAAGAAATGTGGCAAGCACCAACCCCACAAAGTGACACAGTACAAGAAGGGCAAGGATTCTCTGTATGCTCAGAAAAGCAGTGTGATGATAGGAAACAGTGGCTACAGTGGGCAGACTAAGCCGATTTTCCGCAAAAAGGCTAAAACTACAAAGAAGATTGTGCTGAGGCTTGAGTGTGTGGAGCCCAATTGCAGATCTAAGAGAATGCTGGCTATTAAGAAATGCAAGTATTTTGAACTGGGTGGAGATAAGAAGAGAAAGGGCCAAGTGATCCAGTTCTAAGTGTCTTTTATTATGAAGACAATAAAATCTTGAGGTTATGTTAATTAAAAAGAATAAAAAAATAAAATTGAGAAATCTGATAATAAACTGTGCATTAGATAATATTAGAGCAACAATGTTACATTTCTTAAGAGTGATCATAATACTATGATTATATAGGAGAATGTCCTTGTTCTCAGGAGACACATAACGAAGTACTTAGGAGTAAAACCTTGTTATGCCTGAAACTTATTTCAAATAGTTTAGCAATAAACTATTTGAGAGGTAAAGAGAGAGGTAAAGCAAATGTGGCAAGTTGTCAACAACTGGTGAATGTAGATGAAGGGTGTGGATGTATTTTTTTTAACTTTTTTCCACATTTGAAATTTTTCAAAAAAAAGGTTGAAGAAAATAACACTTGACTAGACTAAAAAATAAAGAGTAACATAAATAAATGTTAACCATTAATAAAAGGAAAAAAAGAATACAATAAAATATGAGTAAATATTCATTAATTTGGAGTTTGACAATACCCAGTGTGGAGAAGAAAGAAAAGAAAAGAAAGAAAAGAAAAGAAAGAAAAGAAAAGAAAAGAAAAGAAAAGAAAAGAAAAGAAAAGAAAAGAAAAGAAAAGAAAAGAAAAGAAAAGAAAAGAAAAGAGAAAAGAAAGAGGCAATAAGTAAAAGTACTGGGCTGAATAGTATACTCCACAAGATTCATGCCTACCCAGAGCTTCAGAATATGACCTTATTTGGAAATAGGGTCTTTGCAAATATAATTAGTGAAGATGAGGTCATAGATTAGGGTGGGCTCTAAGTCCAATGATTCGTATCCTTGTTAGAGGTCATGTGACGATACAGAGAAACAGTCACACAGAGAGAATGCCATGTGATGGTGGAGGTGGACACTGGAGTGATGCATCTGCAAGCCAAAGACTGCTGGTAAACATCAGAAGCTAGAAGAAAGGCATAGAACAGATTTTCCTTCAGAGCTTCCAGAAGGAACCAACCTTGCCAACACCTTGATTTTCTACTTCTAGCATCCATAACTGAGACAGAATAAATCTCCGTTGTTTAATCCACTCGCTTTGTGGTACTTTGTTATGGCAGCCCTAGGAAACTAATACAGATTTTGGTATCGTAAAGTAGGATGCTGCTGCAACAAATATCTAAAAATGTGGAATTGGCTTTGGAATTGGGTAATGAGTAGAGGCTGGAAGAATAGTAAAACCCTACATTGCTTGAGGAGACTGTTGGCAGAAATATGGATGTTAAAGACGATTCTTGTGAGGGCTTAGAAGGAAGTAAAGAGAACAATAGAGAAAGCTTCTGTCATCTTAGAGAACAATAGAGAAAGCTTCTGTCACACACACACACACACACACACACACACACACACACACACACACACACACATACACCGTGAACAAAATGTTGCTAGAGATGTGAATGTTAAGGGTGCTTTTGGTGAGGCCATAGAAGGAAATGAAGAACATATTACTGGACACTGGAGGAAAGGTAATCTTTGTTATAAAGTGGCAGAAACTTGGTGCTAAATTGAATTCTGCTGTTGGGTAAAAAGTCCTTAAAAGTGATAAACTTGGCTATTTAGCTGAGATTTTGAAGCAAAGTGTGGAAGATGCAGGCTGTTTTCTCTTTGATGCTTATAATAAAGTGAGAGGGGCAAGAGGTAAATTGAGGAAGGAACTGTTACGAAAAAAGGAAACAGCACTTACTGATTGGGAAAATTCTCAGCTTATCCAGATAGCATACTCTGGAAACAGGGCCAAAGGTGTGGCTGGACAAACCAACAAGATTAGGTATGTGACTGATGGATCTAATCAACCATCTCAGCAGATGGGGTTATCTAGGAAGACTCTGTAGAGAACCCTCATGTCTAATGGTGTGGATTTCTTGACATATATGAGACTGACAAGGTTTTTGAGAATTTTACACCAGCAGACACAGTGCCAGCCTGTTGGGAAAGAGATAGAGAAAGGACAAAATGAAGGAAGGAAGACTGCAAAAGCAAAGCCACACAGATGGAGTGGCCAGAAAGGATGGGACTGCAGCTGCCCTAGTGGGCTGAGAGGTAGGCCCAGAGGACAGAGCATTGAGCTTTCAGGCCTTTAAAACCAATGGAATTTATGCTGCTGGGCTACAAACTTACTTTAGACCAGTAACCCCTTTATTTCTTCCTTTTTGCCCTTTCAGAATTAGAATATCTATCCTATGCCTATCTCACCATTGTATATTAGAAGCAGATAACTTGTTTTCTAGTTTCACAGGTCTCTGGATGGAGAGGAATTTTGCCCCGGGGTTGGACCATATCCAGAACCTCACCCATACCTGATTTAGATTTAGATAATAAGACTTAGAACTTTTAGATGAAATTTGGGACTTATACTTGATGCTGGAATGAGTTAAGGCTTTTGAGGATACTGTGATGCATGTGGACAGATGTGAATTTTTGGAGGCCAGAGGACGAACTATACTGGGTTGAATGGTGTACCTCCAAAATTCATGTTCATCTAGAGCACAGATTGTGAACTTATTTCGAGATAGGGTCTTTGCAGATGTAGTTGAATTAAGGTAGGGTAATACTCGATTAGTGCACACTAATCGGGCCCTAAATCCAATGACTGGAATCCTTATAAGAAGGCCATGTGAAGACAGATACAGACACACAGGGAAATTAGCATGTAATAACAGAGGCAGCGATCGGAATGATGCATCTACAAGCCAAGAAACACCAAGGATTGCTAGCAACTACCAGAGGCTAGAGCAGGCAAGGAAGGATTCTCTCCTAGAGAGTGCAGGGAGACCAGGGCCCTGATGACACCTTGATTTTAGACTTCTGGCCTCCAGAACTATGGAAAAGGATAAATTTCTATTATTCTAAGCCACCAGATTTGTAGTAATTTGTTATAGAAAGGTCGAACTATTGATACCCGTGACAATATGAATGAATCTCAAAAACATTATGTTGAACTAAAGAAACATATAAACAAAGAATATACACTGTATGGTTCCAGTTATATTCTAGAACAGGCAAAACTAATCTATGGTGGAAAAACAATCAAAACACTAGTTGCCTCTGAGAGGTTGGGATGGAAATTACTGGAAGCAAGTTTGATGGAACTTTCTGGGATGATGGTAATCTTCTGTGTTGATAGGGGTTAGGTTGCACAGATGCAGTGTGTACTGGACATGCTCCAATGATTGTGTGCATCTATTCCCAACTCCACGTTCTGTGATGGCACACTGGCAGCTTAAAATTTGACACAATGGGGGGGGAAATGGGCATTTATTGAAACCTTAAAATCTGTACCCCCATAATATACCAAAATAAAAAAAATAATTAAAAAAAAAATTTGACACAATGGGAATATGTACATTATGGAAACTGGCAAACAATACAACTCAGGGCCTTTTTTTTCTGGGGAGGTGGCTGTTAAACATTTATCAGTACATGACTACACAGATTTATATATTGGTCAAAAGTCAGCAAATGAACACTTAAGATTTGTGCATTTAATTGCATGCAAAGTTTACAGACAAAGAAAAGATGTAAATAGGCCGGGCGCGGTGGCTCACACCTGTAATCCTAGCTCTCTGAGAGGCCGAGGCGGGCGGATTGCTCAAGGTCAGGAGTTCAAAACCAGCCTGAGCAAGAGTGAGACCCCGTCTCTACTATAAATAGAAAGAAATTAATTGGCCAACTGATATATATATATATAAAAAATTAGCCGGGCATGGTGGCACATGCCTGTAGTCCCAGCTACTCGGGAGGCTGAGGCAGAAGGATCGCTCGAGCCCAGGAGTTTGAGGTTGCTGTGAGCTAGGCTGACGCCATGGCACTCACTCTAGCCTGGACAACAAAGCGAGACTCTGTCTCAAAAAAAAAAAAAAGAAAAGATGTAAATAAATATTTAACTCTAGCTAACAATATGCATGCTGAAGTATCTGGGGGACATGCATGAACATCACTAATTTTCTAAAATACATTAATAAAGTAAGATGGATTGATGGATAGAGGAATAGGTAGATATATGATAAAATATTAATGGTAGACTCTAGATGGTAATCTAATAGTTGTTTGTGATAAAATTCTTTCAACTTTTCTCCATGTTTGAAAATTTTCATTGAAAAAAAAGAATGAAAAATATTTTCCAATTTGAATATCAAAAATATTAACATGTATTTAATACTATCATATTTAGGACTTAAATTCTTGTATTTGATTTTTTAAATTAACTGCTACTTCTTATGGTATATAGTGAAAGAAGAGATCTAAATGTATTGTTTGCTCAAGTAGCTAAACAATTGAAGGGCATTTTTCATTTTTATCATTTGCTTTAGATAGCCCATGGTAGAAATATGTACACCATGGAAATTGGCAAATGATACAAATCACATTACAATGCTGAAATGAAAGAGGTAATTAATACTAGGGGTCTGCACAGCCAAAGAAACTGTCAAGAGAGCAAACAGACAATCCACAGAATGGGAGAAAATTTTCGCAAACTACATATCCGATAAAGGGCTGATAACTAGAATCTATTTAGAACTCAGGAAAATCAGTAAGGAAATAACAAACAACCCTATCAAAAAGTGGGCAAAGGACATGAACAGAAACTTTCCAAAAGAAGATAGAATAATGGCCAACAAACATATGAAAAGATGCTCAACATCTCTAACCATCAGGGAAATGCAAATCAAAACCACAATGAGAATACCACAAATGCCCTTTATTAACAAGTCCCAAAACAATAAGTGTTGGCGTGGACATGGAGAGATAGGAACACTCCTACGTTGCTGGTGGGACTGCAAACTAGTTCAACCTCTGTGGAAAGCAATATGGAGATACCTTAAAGCGATACAAGTAGATCTACCATTTGATCCAGCAATCCCATTACTGGGCATCTCCCCAAAAGAACAAAAGTCACTCTACAAAAAAGACACCTGCTCTTGAATGTTTATAGCAGCACAATTCACAATTGCAAAGCTGTGGAAACAACCCAAGTGTCCATCAATTCATGAGTGGATTAATAAAATGTGGTATA